CTGGGAAATGGAGAGCTCTGCTTAGATTACGCATACGCCGTGTTGAGCAGCGGGTCCTTGGGGTACGGGAAAATGGGGTCGAGAAAAGAAAGTGCAACACACATGCACGGCAACAGAAGCGGAATCAGAGCCAGAGTGTGGAGAAGGACCTGGAGAAGGACCTGGAGAAGGAGTTGGAGTGGCAGGACAAAAACGAAAAAGGGCAAACGCAAAATGTAAATGGGCTTTTCACAAAATGAATATTAAATTGCAAGTGGGGTAAGGCAAATGCCAATGGTCGGGGGACGGCTTAGCCGAAGGGTGTTAGACATGTCTGAGCCGACATTAACATGGTCCAAGCCCAATCCCAAAGCCCAAAGCGAAACCAAAGCCGAAGCCTCCGATGGGTTGGCTTAGAAACTCTTTGCGGTTTCCCTGTTCCACATATTCATTTTCCAGCCATTTCTTTTGTGGCCGATCTGAATATGATTATCGGCTGTCAAATCTGGCATTCCAAAAGGCACCTCCTATCGATTATCCATTGGAAGTTCAACTAGTTTCCTTGAAGCTTTAACTTAATTCATTAGAGTTGATAGAGTTCGTCAAGGATTTGAAGTCAACTAAACTATTAGTTATGTAACTCAAAAATCAGAGCGAAATGTTTAGTTTTTCCACAATTAAGAGTGAATAGTTTTCATCTCGTTGGCCCAATTACCATAAGCTAACGAGCAGTTCGCGGGAATTTTCCTGCAAGTAGCTGAAAGTTGCTCCTTCGGCAAATGCTAATCCCAATTAGAAACCGCAGCCAGACTAATTAGCATTGGGAGAATCTCGGATATCCGACTTGTTTTGTGGCTGTTTTCCAGATAGATGAGGATTTTGTGCACTTTCCTGGAAACGCCCAGGAAAAGTCTCCCTCCCACTGCCCGCCCCGTCCCGGCCGCCCACTTATATGACATGGCATATGCATTGTTTTCAAAATGATTTGCGGTTCTAATTTTTCGCACAGAGGCGGCGGCAACAGGGAGCTGCACTTTGTCGTCGTTTCTTATTTTTGTGGCTTTCGCTGCACAACTTGAACAGAGGCCCAGCTCCCTCCGCCCCCTGTCAAGCCCCTTGTTCTATTACCACTCCATTTCCGCCCCCGCTGATGTCCACAAAGTGTGCAGCAAGTAAGATGCCACCACAAACCGCATGCAGCTTCAGTCGCTCTCAACTATTGCATCTTCGTCGGATGCGAGTGCACTGAAAGAAATGAGATACTCACTCTTTAAGCTGCTTAAAGGTCATGCTAGTCTTATCTCTCTTTTTAATGGGAAACCAAACTGTGGCTTTTTGCACTCTCTCCTCGACTTATTCACAAGTTGAAGTTCCCAAAATGTTCGAATTTAATTAGTCTCTTATGTAGCTATGACTTTCGCTCAGTGCACCGCTGTACCCTGCTCATTTTGTGTGTGTTTCTTGAGCTGAGGCGCCAAAACAAAGCAGAAACTTCGCTTGGTTCAACATTTCAACTGCTCGGAAATTTATTCATTCCCATTCCCCTGCCAAGCCATCTGCATCTCCGCTGCCATTGCCATTGCCATTGCCATTGCCTTTGCCTTTGCCGTTGCCGTTGCCGTCTTCATTTGTCTGTCGTTTTGTATTTGAGCATTTCGGTATTTGAGTTCCGCCCCGATGCCACGCCCCTGCTAAATGCCACACAAAAACTTTGTCGAGCAAATAAGTAAATTTTTAATTGAAACTCACATGGAAGCAGGGAAGGCGCCAACGAAATTTGATAATTCAAATGGCAGAACGTTTAATATTTGATGTGGCCCACAGCTCCGGCGGCCCCCGAATTTAATTTCATTTGTCGAAATCAATTAAAATGCCTTTCAAAATTTATCACCTGCAAAAGCGGGCGATTTGCGAAAATTGGACTCGGCTCCTTTCGCCCTCGAGTGCCTCAATTACTCTCTGGCCAACTTCAACTGCAGGCGAATGCAAAAGTTTTCGTCCCTTCGTTCCTTTCGTCCTCCTTTCGGCCAAAGTTAACAAATTTTTTGTGCCACAGCAAAAGTTGAGGTAAGTTGTGTACTGAAGTCGAAAGTTTTCCCACACATCCGAGGCAGTGCGAGGCGCGGGGTGAGCAGCAAGTTCTGCATGGCAGCGGACAAATATTTTTCAACAACTTCTCAATGTTGCTAGTGGGCTTTGAATGCAACTAAATTCGGGCTGCAATCGGAGACTTTGAATGGGGCTGGCACATACAGCTGCGGTTAAGGTAATAGCAAACCTTTAAGTAATTGCAAACTTGCAACGGCAGTTAAGTTCGGCAAGTCAGATCTGTGTAAAGATTTTCTTTCGTTCTCTGGAAGATTTCCCAAAGCAGAATTCAAAATGATTGCGTTACTTGAGTGAAAAGTGTTTCTTAAACTGACAATCTAAAACTGCAATGAACAGCAAAACATATATTTCCCAGAAATAGCTGGCCTTTGTTTGTACAGTTTTTGGAAAACATTTTACTACCACTATTAGACTGACCACACCTGTGGGCCGAGCGGGAAAGGGGAGGAGTTTGTTTTGCAAATTTACCCATGTCGTGGTTGCAGTTCTTACTTTAACAATCAGCGTTGACTAAATCAGAGCTGTGCTGTTGATGTTGCAGCTGCAGTTGTTGCTGCTGTTGCTGCTGCTGCTGTTGTGATGTTGCTGCTGTGATGCTCTGTTGTTGCTGCTGATTTATCTGGCGAGTGCGCCAAACGCATGTAAACAAGCGTCGGGGCAGGCATGTGTTTTTCCAGCACACCCGCTGGAAAACCCACTTGGAAAAGCCACCCGCGCGCCATAATGCGCTACTCAATTTGGCAACGAGGTCCTCTGCTGTTGCCCACATAAGTAGGCAATGCATTTTTCCCAATGGGAGCTGCCGCCGATTGGGAATGTTTCGCAATGCGCACTGTGAGAAATTGGGAGGGGGTTTCTATGTAAGAACCTTCCAGAATTAAAACCGCAACTAGATGCTATGCTGAATATTTTAAAGATTTCCCTTCCCTAGCAAGCAAAATAGTTTCAAGCGATCCAAATGATGATCCTCACTTTTTCAGTGTATGAGTGTGACACCCTCCTCACCCTCTGGCACTCCCATTTCGCTCCATGTGTGTATACATTCGTAGATGATTGTATGTGGCTGTTGGGCGCCCTCTAATGGCCACAAATTAAAGACTTCGGACAAAAGCTTAACTTTCATTAATCGCGGCAAATGTCGGCGCACAGATTTCGCGCCAAAAGAGATGGAACAGCATGGAGTGGGAGAAGGGAGAGATAGGAGAGAATGGAGAGAAAACGGAGAATGCCAAGGGGCGCCTAAACGAGATGGGGAGACATTGTGGGAGCGTTGCAGCTACAACAAACTATCAAAATAAATAACGAAACGTGACGGCAACGTAACGTGCCACATTCTGCCCCCTAGCCACGCCTCCTTTAAGCCCCATCCCGCCCACTATTGTGGCACAGAACCCCCCTTTCTCTCTCGGCCACCACACAATTGCCACACAAACGAAACTTTTCAGCCACGAAAATTGCACATAAAACTTAATTAGTTTTTTCTCTCTCTGTTTGGCGAGTGTGTGTGTGTTTGTGTGTGTGTTTCGTGCTGTTTGGTCATTTTTATCATTTGCACTTAATTAATTAAGTTGTAGCATTTTTATTGCCCCACAACAATAAGAGAAACAACAACAATAACAACTATAATACACATGTTAAAGAATAGTTGTTGTTAGAATACAAAATGAAAGAGCCAATCGGGAAAATGCCCGCACGAAATATTTGGCCAAAAGGAATTTCATTAAGATTTCCGCCAGTAATTAAAGGAACAAAGTTCGAAAAATCTTCAAAGTTTTCCCTTTAAAATAAAGTTCAGTGTGGCAGAACAATAAAATGTAATGGGTCAAAGAACATATCAAACGATGATTGAATAATCGTGATCTTGCCAGTGGAAATGTTGCCAAAGACATGAAGTTGAGGTGGACGACTTTCCGTGTGGGGGCCCTAAAAAAAGCGAATGAAGTGAAAACACTTGCAGGTCTTGATTCTTGAGTCTTGATTATGAAACCGTAATTGGATTTGCACAAGCAGGGCGAGGCATAAATATATAATATATCGCGGCAAGTAAGTGCCAATAGATATAAAAAATTGATCAACTGCGGGGACGACAGCACCATCTACCGGGCGTTTATGCGAAGCTCCCGTTAGCCGTAAGCCATAAAAATTAATAGCCAGACGATGGGAATGCGAATGGAAACGGGAATGGGTATGGGTATGGGAATGGGAATGGGTATGGCTGTTTTCGACCTGGTCGTCGACTTCAAGTACGTGTAATATCAATAAAATTAAGCCGAGACAAGGGCCCAAAGCCAGACGCCCGAGGAGTAGGGATGGCCAGAGAGCCTTGCGTGCAATCATAAAAACGCGACAGTGCCAAACAATAAGCTGAAAGCCTCTTACATGTATTTTTATGCCCCACCCACTCAGCCAGCTCCCATTCACCCATTCAAACCACCCACTCAAACCGCCCACTCAAACCGCCCACCCAAACACCCAGCCAGCCAACCACCCAACTACTGCGATGACGACGCCGCCGTGTCGCTTCTAATGCGACTTGAAAAGTCAACGACATCCGCAACGGAACGAGCACCGTGCGACTGGAATGGGTTAAGAGGGGTGCACCAAGCGGTTAAGAGCGAGGGAGGGGCCTGTGGGGCACCGAGAGCGAAAGGCTTCTAAATGCGGCGCGTCATTGTTTTGCCTGAAGGAGCTGCCAGCTGAAATCCCAGCCCGAACCAAAAGTCCTGGTCCTCGATCTGCCACCCATTCGCTGCTTTTGGGTGGCGCACAGTGGTGCTGCTCTACAGGAAATGGTTTACTATTAGCAAATGCTAAATTGATGTTATAATGATTTTATGATTCAACATAAGAAATCCTTTAATAAATATTTCGCTGAAAATGAAAGCAGTCATGATTTTAAAATAAAACACAGATTTAGTTTATGCTTCGCAGGCTACACATCAAATATATTAGGCTTGGAATTTAGATTATTTCGGGCATAGTTTGTTGCGTTTGAAATAATCGATGGATTAAAAATGGAAAGGCGATTATAATTATAAATGAAGCGGCCGATGACGACTAGAGTGACAGATTAAAACGTGAATTTAGCTGGTGACGTTGGCCTGCTGGACGCCTGGAAATCCAAAGCCCGGTGCAGAGTTGATATCGCCGGACGCTGATCCAGAGCCAGGTCCAGATGCAGGTGCAGTTCCAAATATACCGGAATCCTCTACTTCTGCTTGCGGTTCGGGATTGCGGAACTGCTCTGCAGAGATACGGGTAAACAGGATGCCAATGCCCTCGATCATCGAGAGCAGGACTCCTCCGACAATTGCACTGCCGAGCATGGCGGCCACTCCGTTGCGGGAGGAGAGAATGCCCCCGGCAATGGTGCCGCTCATAATCGAGTTCCACGGATCCTCCTTCTTACGCAAATGGACCAAAGTGCAGTCCACGATGCTGAAGACGCAGCCCCAGGAGGCAAAGCTGCCGCCGATAGTTGGCGACCTGGCCTTCACCGCCGACAAGCCACCGGCAAACCGGCGTCTGAAGCCTTGTGGGGCATTCCGGAATCCCTTCAGCCCCTGGAAGAGACCGCCTCCGAAGCAGCCCATGGCAAAGGCGCCGCCACAATCGTCGACGATACGAAAAGGACAGGGTTCGCGTGAATACTCCTCCATTCCTATATATTCCTAGATCTGGCCGAAATTGAACAACTTTAAGGTGAATTTATTACGTTTGCTCTACGCTCGACTTATCACAGGCTCGACTCGGATTGAATTGAATGAGTTCGGGGCTAAGATGTGGAACAGTCTAAAACTGGTAAGGAGAAGCCTACTACTAAGCCAGTCTTGCATCAAAAATATTAAGTCGGAAATGGAAGTATTTGGTGAGTATTTGCCAAAATTGTCTGTTATAAAAAATTAAACAGTTTAGATGCGCCTTCTGCTCTGCTGCGATCTACGATCCCAGAAGCAGGAAGGCTGCCCGACTAATGGGCATATAAATAGGAAACCTCCCAGCGGCGAATGGCAATCCATTTTGCATAGACAAGCGACCAGTGTGAGCCGCTCTCTTGGTGTTGTTGCTGTTGCTGGGTGAAGTGCTGCTTAAATATGAAAAACTAACTCGCAGCTGCTTTTCACATTTTCCTGCACTTGACACTAAATTCACTTTGGCCAAGTGGGTGCTTGGTGCACTTGAAGCGCACTTTCGCTTGACAACAAACCCACCGTCAGCGTAGCATCCCCATCCCCATCTCCATCCACATCCACATCCACATTCTCGTCCTCGTCCTCGTCCTCCTCCATGGAGTAGCATCTACATGCACATGGCAATCCAGACGGGCAGGTGCGCAACGTACGTACCATATAACGTACGTATATTTATTTTATTACTTAAATAAATTACAAAACGGTAGTCGGTTAACCAGAGCCAAAGCCAAAGCCAAAGCCAAACCCAAAGCCAAATGGCCACCCATCCGCCGGCTGCATAGTTGAGGAGCTTAGCGCATAATATATTGTTGCAGTGCAGCAGCAACATTCCGGCCAACAAAGGCAACAAAATGTTTGCCGGAGCGGCAATGGGTGGCCACCTCTCCCTCTTCCTTCTCCGGGCAACTTCCAACTGCCAAGTGCAGGGCTGCCGAGTGTGTTGCCGTGCGGCCGTGTGGGTGTGGTGATGTGTGGCCACGTGAAGTGCTAGGCGGGACGGAACAGGACGGGACGGCCAGGACAGGACAGGACAGGTGAAACTGCAACGGAAACGCAGCGCATTTCGAGTGCCGCCCGAATGCGAAACTTTGCCATCTCGGCCAACTTTTCGGGCTGCAAATCCGCTTGCCTTCAGTCAACAGCCTCTTAAAAAGTTATGATCGCGTTGATTAAAGATCTCAGTTATTTCAGCGGATTTCTGGCACTTTCCATTTTTCCCACCCATGCCGTTCCATAATAGAATTGCTGTTAGTTGAGCTATAAGTTGATGGGTCAAACGATTGTTTGCTATACTTTGCGTATGGTTGCTGAATATAAAATGGGTTCACCTGGCTGAGATGCTCAGCTAACCTTAAAGAAGAAATCCAAACTTACCACTCCTTCCCCCGATCCACACCCTCAGCCCAACCAGAAAAGCAATTAAGAGACTCCACAGCTGGCTTTCAATCCTTACGTATATTATCTTGTTTAAATTCAATTTCAGTTACTTTTCTATTTACAAATGAACTCCGAATGGGGTTTGTGGTATTCTGGGGAATCTACGCGTCGGAATCTCAAATTACATGTGTCAGCTCTCTCAGTTATCGGGTATATATGCCTGTATATATGTATTGTATTTGTATAATCGTCATTTATAGTTGCGTATAATATGCTTAAATATGTCAATATTGTTTAAGTTATTTTCGTTGAAAGTTCTCCATTTGATTACATTGCCAAAGAAGGGGAGAAAAGAGGGTGTGCTGGAGGAGAAGACCCTTCGGTCGTTCTCCACGTTGAAGGCTACTTCCTTAGCCGTAGTAGTTGCCCGGTGCCTGGGTGGGATAGCTCTTGGCTCCGCCCTGGGAAGAGTAGCCATCGGAAGAGCCACTGCCTCTGGATGAGGGATTCTCGCTGAAGAGGCCGCCGAAGTTCTTCGAGTTGAAGATTTCGCCCAGGCCGCCAGAGCCGCCGCCTCCTTGCTGGCCACCTCGGTTGGCATTTCCACCGCTAAGCAGGCTGCCCAAGAAGCTACTAGCTCCGCCGCCACCTCCGCCACCGCCTCCATTGGCACCGCCGCCAGACAAAACAGATCCCAGGAGTCCGCCAAGGATGTTACTGCCAGAGGAACCACCACCTCCAGAGCCTCCTGCTGGGGATCCGCCGCCGTAGCCGCCACTGGGCTGATAGCCACCTGCCTGCTGTCCACCGTTTCCTCCAGCTCCGCCGCCCTGCAGTTGCTTGGCTATCTGGCCTGCAATGATACCGGATACCGCTTGACTCACCGCCGGATTCGAGAAGAAATTCGAGAAGAAGCCGCCCTCCTTGTCCTTGGGCTTCTGACCTCCACCGCCGTTGTTCTCATAGCCCGGGGCGGGTGGCGTGTAGCCAGGTCTGGGTTGGTATCCGCCGGGAGCTTGAGGTTGATAGCCGCCAGGAGCTTGAGGTTGATAGCCGCCGTTGTAGGGGTTGTAGCCACCGTTGCCACCACCACCGACGTATGGATTATAGGGCGCTGCACCACCACCACCACCGTTGGAGTTGGGTAGACTGGGGTACAGGGAGTGGCCGCCAGCCGAGAAGCCACCACCATATCCGCCGTTTCCGCCTCCGCCACCGCTCGCAGCACCACCGTAGCCAGCACCACCGCTCGCATCCGCTTCCGGCAGCGGGGCACTCGGGGCATTCGGGGCGTATGCGTTATGGCTCACCTCTGGGTCAGTCGGCAAAGCAGTGCGCAAGCAGTTGGTTAGCCACAAAAGCGGGGGTTTCGAATCGAAATGTAAAACCGAAGAGAGAAGAACACAAAAACACAAAAGAACACAAATTAGGTAAACAAAGGTAAAAAGCAATGAATGGTCAAGTTGCGAGTACAATCAATGAACTTAGCTTACGTTTTGATTAATTACCGTACCGATTTAAATCTACACAACTTTGAGTTTTTGTCCGCCCGAACTTAGTCTAGTTAAGTCTTCGCTTTAGTATATTAAATATATCTCTGTCGACTCTCTGACGACTCCACACACAATATTAGAATATATAATATATATATATATATATACTTTTAATGCTATGTACAACTCTTTATGTTAGTTAGTGGTTTTGATTAGTAAATACTCGAATACTTATTGTTTGCTCGTTAATTTGCTCGCATGAGTCCGTGTGTATGAGTCGATGTGGGGCTGTGGGTAGTACCGTATAGTGGGTAGTATCTTATATCGATAAAATGATCTCGGTCTGGTTAATACTGTTTCGTGTCGTACTGTTTACATGGTTTATGGTTCATTGTTCATGGCTCATGGCTCATGGCTCATGGCCCAGAGATTGCAAATGAAGTTAGCATTAGTCGGTGTCCCAAATCAGGGGTGTGCAAATACAAATAGAAACGGACGGAGTAAATATGCTCGACATGAGTGTGCTTTTTATCCGGAGTTTACAGCGACAAAATCGTTATGTTTTCTTGGCCAGTTTTGAATTTCTGTGTGGCTTTGTGGGTCTGTGTGTTCGAAGTGTTTTACAATTTGCATTCGGTATTTGGGGGAGGGTACCTTGGGGGGTGGGGTATTTGGTATTTGGTATTCAGTATTCGGTTTTTGCTTTTTGCTTTTTGGCTTTCGATTTGTTGCTGTTGTATTTGTATTGCTGGCAGTTGGTTAGCAATCTAAATGCCTTTTGTGACAGTTTTTTTGATTTCTTTCATTTCATTTCGGCAGTCTGCAGCACTTACAGCCTAGTTTTAGTTTTAGTTTATCGTTTTCTTCGCTTTTAGTTTTAGTTTTTACGTTAGATTAGTTTTGAACACCTTAGGCTAGCTTAATTGTTGGTTTTTGTTCGTTTCCTTGCTTTTAAAATGCCATTTAACTTGCTTCACTGATCGTTTATTCATAATCGTAATCGTACAAAAAAAAAACCAATCTGATTTGCCCGCAGCGCACTTGGTGCTCTGCCCTCGAATGTAGCTCATTATGCATTTTGATTGACATGCGTATCTTGTATCTACAACACTATCCATCTAAGTATCTGTATCTGTATCTGTATTTTCGATAGCAGCAGCAGCAGCAGCAGCAGCAGCAGTGGCAGCAGCATCATCGAAAGCCCTGGATCCGCCAGTGTCTGGCCGCAAATTCGTAGCATCAACAAAAATGAAATTAACATCAAAGTTTCCCAGCCATGCCATGTGTGTGTATGGCTATGTTTTGGTATGGCTTTTTGTATCGCTATGGGTGTGTGTGTGTGGCGGTCAGACGGACTTTGAGCCGACCCCCTTTTGACCAGAGGCTGGCTGTCTAAGCCCGAAATTAAATTCCAATTTAATTGAGCTGCAAAAAAGAGCAGCTCCCAGGGGCCGGCGAGCAGTTCCCCTTGACTGATAGTCCAAAAAACACACACACACATACTCAAATGAACTCTCTGCCATACACACATACACACACACAGACTCCTACACAATATTAAATTGAAATTACGTATTCGCAGTGTGAGCCAGACAGCAAAGGCTGCCGGAAAAAAGCCGAACGAGGGACGGCGCAGTGTAATTAAAATACAACCTTTGAATTGTTGTTCAAAACTACGGAAAGTTATAATTTTCAGGTGAAGATGCCATTGCTGCCAAGGCACCTGCCGCTACCGCTGCTGCTGCTGCTGCTTTTACATTTTTCTTAATCCTACTCGAAATGAAAAATTCAAAACAAGAGTTGTGGGAAATCAGGAGAATAAGGTAAACAATAAGAACAAAAAACGAAAGCATAACAATCAGGCGAGCTCCCATTTTCACCTAGTACTTAGTTCGAGAATCTCTCTGCAGGTGCTTTCAGTTTCCATGGATATTTTTTTTTTATTGCTAAGCATTTTATTTACTCTCTGGAAAATGTTTAATCTTCTTCACTCTTACTATGTATATGTCAAACCAACTTTCTTTCAAGGGAAAGCACCTGCTAGGCTCTGTGAAACTGAAAATCTGAAATCTCTGGAAGATGATCTTTTGTTAGTAAGACATTTCGGTGAAAATGGGATCATTCCATGATAGTTATTCTGAACATATTGAATGGGTTAATATTCCGGGGGTCGTCGGGGATCATGCTTTGTGGGGGCTGTGTGCCTTGTGCCGCTCCGTGTGGTACTGCTGCTGCTGCCCCAGCTTATTACGTGCGAGGCAGGAGGGCCAGTGCGAGCCCGAGGATCAGGATGCCTATTCCAGACCCGCCCAGACTGCCGGCTGCCGAGGGATGCGCCTGGGTGCGCCGGTTGTAGGGATTCTGTTGGTTCTGGTTCTGGTACTGCGGCGGCGGCTTGTTGTACATGTTCGCGTTGGAGTGCTGGCTCTGATAGCCCTGGAAGTTGCTGCCGTAGGGCGCCAGGCCGCCACCGCCGCCGCCGAGGATGCCCAGCGTCGAGCTGGGCAGTCCGACGCCGCCGCCGACGCCTCCATTACCGCCGCCTCCAACGCCGCCGGGCGGACCGCCTGTTCCGGTCGGTCCGCCGCCGCCATAGAACGGCAACTGGCCAAAGACGAAGGGCGGATTGTACGGGTTCACCGGCTGCAGGCCGTGCATGGGATAGCCGGGATTGAGGACGCTGCCTGGATGGTTTGGTTGAGGGAACTGCTGGAACGAGGGCGCCGACGTGGGCGAGTTGTACGGGAAGATGGGCATGTTGGGTATGACGGGCATATGGTGCTTCGCCCCGAATACGTAGTGCGGATCTATGACGCCCGTCGAGGAGGCGCCCGCCGCCCCCGCGTTGCCGCCTTTGTCGCGATCATTCCCATTTCCGGCGTTACCATTTCCGTTTCCGTTTCCGCCATCGCCACCGCCATCGCCGCCACCCTGCTGATGGTTGTACGTGTAGGTGTTAAGCGTGGGATTCGATGAGGCGGGTGCAAAGATGTTGTTCTCGGGTCCCTGGCCCAGACTCGATCCTGTTAGTGGTCAGTTTTCGATGGCACGCGGGGAAAAGAGAGCGGTTTTCTTGTTAGCGTTAGTTTTGGCCATGATCCCACCCAGCCTGCCCTCCTTTTAGGTCCCTCTCCGCCCAGCACAGAGAAAAGTTTCTTAGAATTTTCTTTAAGAAAATAAGAAAAGTCAACTTCTGACCTTACGAAATGGAAAACTTGCACTTTCTAAGCCTGACTTTTTGATGTCTTTTAAATTCCGAGTTTATGTTCCTCTTTTTTAAGCGGTTTTGGTTTTGGTTTTGGTTTCGGGTTTGGGAAAAGCTTTTAAGTTAAATTTAATTTGGGAAATATTTTGTTGAACTTGAAAAAAATTCAAACTTTCTTTCTTTATTTGCGATGAATGCTATGCATTTTTCTCTCTGTGCTGCGACTTCTTAGAACATGCAGAGGTGGGCGGCGGAGAGGGGGTGAGAGCGGCGTGGCCGGGCGGGTGGTTAGCGGTCGAATATTTTAAAGCCTTGAGCGAATGAGGCGATGAATGAGCGAGCGAGCGAGTGATTGATTGATTGATTGATTGTTAGATTGGGTGTTAGATTGATTGAGTCAGCGGAAGCTGTCAGTGTATTGGTGTGAGTGTGCGTGTGTGTGTGCTAGTGTGTGTGTGTGTGTTAGATCGCCATACAACATATTACATTCGGTTATATAGCATATAGATTACATATAGAGATGGAAACGATCATAAAACTAAACGAATACTTTGGGCCAAACATAAAAGCGAAATCACAAAATAACTTCGAGAATTTGGAATAGTTTTTATGACCTTGCAGAGTTCTTGGAGATCGGATTTCGATTAAGAAAGAGTTGGATCTTCAAGTTGAAGCTTACAGCAAGTTATGTGGCTTAGAGAAGAGGTAAGAATTGAGTACCAAACAGACCAGACAGACATTGAGTAAAAGTGGCAGCCTGACCCTGCCTGACCCTGCAAGGAGATAGTAATCTTCGGCATCCGAAGTCAGCTTTTGTTGCCCCCCAGAACGCCCTGTCCCTGGTAATAACTCGTTTTGAGGAACCAAAAAGTTGTGGCCGCCAATCGCCGGTCGCCCAAGTCGAATTACGAATTACGAAACACGATGCCAATCGCCAATCGCCTGGACAACTCCCCCAGGGAAGCGCACAATGAGTAATCAAGTGGGGGATTCCAAGCTAAATACCTGACGGATTGGCCGAGGGAGCTGCCAAATTGGGGCTGCTGTTCGAGGCGGATGATGCTCCGCCGGAGCGCCGTTTGCAGGTTGGATAGTTGCCGCAATCCTTGCCGTCCCGCTGGTTGTAGCTGCACGAGTCGCTGGTGATGACGCACTCCTCGGTGGGCAGGCAGCCAATGTCCCCGCATCCACGGCCGTACTCTACGCCCGCGGGAAATTCGTTTAGGTTCAAGGATTACGGATTACGGATTTCGGATTGCGGATTACGGATTGCAGGTTTCAGTGTGTGTTTTGTGGAGTGGAGGTTGAAGGTCAAAATCATACGGAAAAAAGGAAAAACAAATTATAAGCCTGCACAAAATCGGGGATATCTCCTTTGTCTTCGATATGTCAATATGATGGAGGGGCAGGGGTTGATGAAGGCATGAAACGTTCACCACCGATCCGATGGATCGGTGCTCATCTCGGGATTACTGATTACACAATACAACAGATAGCAGCGAGTGCGTTGGCCTTCCAGGACAAGACAAGGGTGGCATGTTGTCCTCGAAGGCCACCGGCACCCGCAACATCACGTATACGTACTCGAGTAGGCGTCCACGGTGTATCCGCAGCTGGCGAGGACCGCCAAAGTCAGCAGAGGCAGTGCCAGCATCCTGTTGCTCGCTGTCGATGCCACGCCCTTAGATCAAAAGTTTCTGCAAAGTGCGAGAAAAGGAGAAATACAGATTTTCAGCCGGCCAAGTTTCACACAACAGAGGGAATAAGTTTGGAAAGAGTTTGCTCTGCAGAAATACGCATTCGCATATGCCAGAAGTAGCCAATTGAAGGTGCATGGCAAGTTTGGCCAATATTTTGATTTCATTACTTTTTGATTGCATACTTTCAGGCATTCAAATAATATCTTATATTAGACACACCATTTGGTGATACTTTAAGTTAACTTAATCAGGTAAAGTAATTATTTTAAGATTACCTTACTGCTCAGAAACTTATCTTTTATAAAGCCTTTCCTTTTCGGTTTCTACAGCACTACACTCGCGAAACGCACTGTAGCTAGACAGCAGAGACAGAGACAGCCGCTGCCTGATTATTATTTATATGCTGCAGCAGAGCCAGGGGCTGTACCCTTTTGGCAAGCCAAGTTTATTTATCACATTGACAGCTGGCTCAAGTTCATTGCGGTCCCGATGCGTCACCGAGAGAAATGGCCAAGTTGGGTTGCAGAGCCACAGAATCGGAGAAATGGAGATGGGGAGAAAAAGAGAAACAGAGAAATGGGGTAGAGGAGCGACCAAATGGCGTCGCATTTGTTTGGCAGAAAAAGTCGAAACTCGAATCCCCACATGTGATCAAACCAACTCCGCATTTTCTACTCAAAGTCCCAGCTGCAAGCTTAGGAAATCGCACAACAAGAATGTAGAAATCAAGCGGTTTGAGTGACTAACTTGTTAGAAAGTATTAGAAGGCTTACTTTTGATTCATATCTTTGAATAACTTTGTTTACCTATCTTGACTCGAATTTAAAGTCCACAGAAAACCTTAAGAGAGTGTCCCAGATTCAAGTTAACACCCATCAGATTTAAGACGGTTTTCGAATGACTGTCTTGTGAAAAGGCTTCTCCTTTCTCCTTTACGGACAACATCTATAAATAATACAAATCATTTAAAGTCCTGGAGGAAGCGTTCGCCTTTCATGTCCTTTCATCCTCCAAGGACCTAGAAAACCGTCAACTCATCCCAGTCAGCCCACCTGGAGCAGTCACTCCATCACAGTCAGCCCACCCGCCCTCTTCCGCTCTTAATCAATTGCCCTCCAGTCGGTAAAAAAATGCACGAAAAAAAACAGCAGGGAGAATATTTGGCGCGTTTCAATATCAAACAATTTCAAGAACTTTTTCATAATTTTCCCTCCTCGGCTGCCGTCCACTCGCAACATTTCCATATTCAAATTTCGCAAATGACTTGGCAACTTATTCACGGGGGGTTACGAGCGGAAAATGTTGCTTAGCCGTCGAGGAAATGAATTTAACGTCCGTTCGTCTTGATCAATTTCGCATTCCGTTTAAAGAGCTCTGCAGGCAAAAGCCTGAAATGGAAATTCCTGGGAAATGACCAGCAAATGAAAACGCATAAATTGGTCGTCTGTCTATGCTTCATTTGTTGTCCACCGCCCGGCCCTATTCTCCCGCCCACGAGGAGGGATGCATGAATGGGCTCTGGAGCAGCGACAAAAAATGGAAACCTAAAAAAGCTGTTGGGGCTTCCGAAATGCGAGGCCACAGCTAACGGGGCAGCATGGGTAAAATGTATCACAAAAAGGGGGAAGTAATGGGTTTTGGGGGAAATCTTATTTTTATTTTTAATTTTTTTCATATTTTTTTTAATATTTTCAAGAAGTTAGTTAGCAGGCCTAGCTGGCAGTATTTATTTACTGATTTTTCCTTGTTTTAAAATTTATTAAAAATATCACAAGTTAACTTCACCACTTTTTAGCCCTTTAAATGAATGTTAATTTAATTTGAAACCCTGAAATTTATAAATTTATTGAGCTAAGATCGACAGTTTTGATTTTCCATTCAATGGAAAGTGTAACTAATACTTAAGTTCCTTAATAATGCTCTTTAAATGTGAAATGTTAACCTTTTTCCACTGTTCTGTTCTCGATACCCTTTTTGGTATTAAAAAACTAATACATATAGGGTGGCCCACGGAAGTTTTGCGTTTTAAAATCTCTCAAGCGTAGACTAAACCATTTCGTAAACCGCATATACCAAATATCTGATGACATTCGAAGTGTCAAAGTCAAAATTATCAATAGTTCAAAAAGCAAACGCCACGTGGGCCACCATCTAAATTTCTTAATTAAAGTCTTAAGTTGTGAGCTTATCAGGACTTCTTCTTCTGCATGAAAATTAAACTTAAAAAAACTATAAATAATCATATACATATGTAGGGTATGTCAAAGACACAACCTGCTTGTTTTCCTACCATATCTACGGTAGCTAAACAGCCGAATTTCTTTGTTTCTAAGAGCCTGGCCTGTTCTGCCATCATTCCAGCTGTCTTGCCCGCAACTCGACTCGACCACTGTCCGTCCGGCTGTCTAGCTGTCCGACTGACCGGCTGTCCGGCTGTCCGCTTGCCCGTCGTCCATCCTTTTGTCCGTCCGGCTGTCCCTGTACATTTGTCTGTGCGGGCCACGTCCCGGTCGACGGAAGCCAAAAGTGGAAATGCATGATAAATGACACAAGGTTTGCCTCTCTTTTTCTGCCACTGTTATTTTTTGTCTTGTTTTTCTTGTTTTTTTTTCTACCGGAGAAGGGGGGCTGTTGGCGTGGGCGGACCTTGTACAACAACACAAAGAACGAGAGCGGCAACAACAATTTTTATTTCAAGACACAACACACAAAACAACGATTCTAGGACAGCGAGAAAGTGAGCCGAAGGGGGCTCGCAGCACGAAAATTGTGAAACGATGACGTCGTAAATGTTTTGTTGCAACATTTTTCTGTTGCAAGCGAAAGAAACAAACTGTAAAAAATAAATAAAAGCCAAAAAGAAAGCCGAAAAAAGGAGCAGCAGCGCCAGAGCCAGATACGGGGTGCAGAACTGGAGAAAAATGAAGTAAAAACAGCAGAGCAAACTGTCCGCGAAACGGAAGCGCAAATAAAACAACTGCAAGGGGTGCCCAGCCAAGCGGTGCCAGTGGCGTCGGCAAGGGGGGCAGGTTGGGCTGATGGAGTCCCCAAAAAAGGGGGACAAAAACCGCAGTGCGCCCCACTGTGCGTTGCCTTGGAAAAAACTGAAATCAAAACAACGGCCGCAGTACTCGAAAACATATTTTTTTTCAAATCGCTTTAAGGAACGGAATGAAAATGATGGAATATTTGCTGGTTGAATTCTGAATAGCTAATACCATAGGTAACATGTTTGCTTAAATGATTAGGTAAAGTAAGAAGATATTCGTGAAGATCTTAAATATTTATGAATATTACCAAGGAAGTTACTTGAATGTGTAAAGTTACCTTCACTCATTAGTTAAGAACCAAATATTATCAAAATAACACCATGGAATGTAGGAAGGGCACCTGCAATATCTAATTACTTCTTCTTAAAAATGATTATGATTATCTTTCACATTAAATATCCAAATTTGAGTATCCAAATTTAAGATTATCAAGCTTTTGCCTGCTGTTCTCGCAGCCAACTAGACTCCGCCAGTGTGGCCGAGTGAAGCTATAAATCCGCACCCCACCCATTTGACCCACCACCGACAACAGGAAGGAGAACAAGCCACACCAACGAGCACCGCCCGAGGGAAAGCGGAAAAGCTGGGAAAAGCGGGCAGAGGCGGCGGCACTCGGCAATGGGGAATGGGGAAAAACAGCAGCAGCGCCGCTTCAACGCTTGGGTTCGCAAGGCATAAACCGAAAATTCACACTTGGTTACTTCCTTCATGACTTTGGATATTATTGTGGTTTATGTTAGTGCTGTCACTTGCCCGCCGGCTGGCCACGCCCCCCGCTGCCACCTCCTTAGTCCTCCGCAGCCGCGTGATGTATGACTCCATGAAATGCGATATATTCATGTTAAATTCTTTTTTTTCGCCCATTTTTGTAGCAACAAAAAGGGGGCGAGTTGAGGAGCGGCCACAAGGAGGCGACATCAGAGAGCGAGAGTCGCTGAACAAGTTTAAAACAACAAAAGTGCAAAGTTTGGCGCCAGTTTGGAATTGCAATTGCAATTGAACAAACAATTAAAACTTTTAAATATTGTGACAGCATTTTCACAGTTAATTGCACAGGCCAACGAGCAGCTGCTGCCTCCGCCAGTTTCCCAGTTTTCCAGTTTCCCATTTGCCAGTTTGCCAAGGCCCACAGCCCACTCATTCACTCATTCCTTCATTCATTACTTCCAATTCATTTCAGAAACTTCTCTCACTCCCCGGCAAAGCCCGCAGTTTGCCCTTTTGGCCCGCCAGAATAGGTGCAAAAAAACGTTGCTCTCTTTTTATCTGCAGTTGTTGCAGCGGCCAACTGACAAACTGACAAACTGACAACCATTTGTCATTAGCCGGGGGGCGTCGGGGCTGCCTGGGGGCGTGGCCAGCCATATGCTTTTACACTCACACAAAAACTAATCCTTGGCTTGCATTCATTTACTCAATTTTTGGCAAGGATTCATCGCATTATTTATGAAAACGGTTTTCGATTTTTGGTTTTCCACAATCTCTGCTTGAGTTCTAGTTGAAGTTCTCGACAACCACTGCTTTTCTCCGAGTGTAGCAGGCCAACAAAAAAGAATCTAGCCATCGAGGGCGACTTTAATTAGCGAACGTCGCGGGCTTGCTGATTTTTCAAATTTATTTCGGTTCGGCTGGCGCATTTCTGGCTTATTAAATTCCGTCAGCTAACTACTAACAAAAAAGTGGCAAAGCGCAAAAAATTCGAAAAATAGGAGGGCAAAAAACGTCAAAAAGGTATCCCATCCCGTCCCGTTCCCTGGCGAAAATGTCAATTTGTGGCCAGAACAGGCTCCGGGCCAGCAACGAATCACAAAAAGGCAGGCAACACAAATAAAAAAAAAAAAAAAAGAAATGCGAACAAAAAAAAGTACCGGAAGAAGGAAAATCTTTGTAAGGCAGTTAATTAAAAACTTCACATAAAGAGCCAAAAGTGGGAGGTTGGTCGACGGGGCGTGCTGATGCTAGGTGGGGGAAGGGTGGGGGGTATGTGGCATGTGTGCTAGGAAAAGCGGCGACAAAAGAAAAGCTGCCAAAGAGCTTCCGACTGCAGCCATAATTAAAAAAGTCTGGAGCCGAAATTGAAACCCATATTGAGAGCGGTTCAATGGGGCGTATGCGTGATTTGGGCTCCCGGCGCTTACGCATTCAATTAGGTTACAAATTACTGGCCCCGAACAATCGAATGATGTATGGCCAGCGCGATGGCCTCGCATTTCTTGGCACTTGCCGTTTTTTATTTTATTTTTATTTTCAGTTCGCAGTGTGAGAGCGGCGGCATGTGGCGCGTTTGCTGGACGAAAATGCACGGCGAGAAATGGGTCATCGATTCGGCACTGGCAGAAAATGATAGTCTGCTTTTGGGCGGTGGCATTTTTTTGGAAACCAAAACTACTTCTCAGTTAGCAATAGCTCTTGCTTTGAATATACTTAGTAGTTGTTTATGTTAAACTCAAATTTGATCACCAATTAGAAGAGCAAACTGTATTTCACTTTCCTGTAAATATTTCCCGAAATTGCCATTTAGGGTTTATACAAATCCGAAATTCTGTCTGATTTCTCATACACTCGCTTATTCGATGATGAATGGTGGACACGATAGGGCTGTGACTATTTTAATATACCTTCCTGCCTTGTCATCAAATTAATAAAACCCAAATCCAAGCTTGTTGCCTTGTTTTTCTCTGTATGTCAGGTGCCATGCAGGCATGATGATGATGATTGATTTCGTTAATTTAGTTGAGCAGCTGAGCTCGTGGCGGGCCATGAAAAATGCATGACACTCAGCGATGGGTGGCTTTGGGGGGTTCCTATGTGCTATGTCGCTGCGACTGCGAGTTAATCTAATGGCTTGAGGGGTGAGGTGGTCGGAGGGTGGATCAGCAGCTGCTGCAGGAGCTTCCATCTGAGAATGGCCAACGCCATTGAAAATCGCTGAAAGGCACCATCCGCATGAGTAGTTTTCGGGGGTCGAATGTTGGCGAGCCATTCGCCAGATACAGATGCGATTAGGGCAAGGGTTAATGCTATGTTTGTTCGCCTAATCGGTCAATCTTATTCACTTTTGATTCGCAGGCGAATGCCATTGCATTTCAATGAACTTTGTAATAAAATGGCTCAGCCTTTGACACCTCCACTCAATACTCGAATAGCTTTTCTGCTCTTCTCCTTCTTCGTTCTCTGGCAATCAGCTGGGCTCAGTCTGCAAACTACAAATAAGCGATAGCTGTATTGACTTTGACATTTGAGGAAGCTAATGATGATGAGGCCTTAGCTTTCGGCTTACCTATAAAGCAGCAGAAAGGCAGTTTGGAAAGTCAAACTCCAAGGAATGTTAGCCCATGCAGTCATGCTGTCTTTCTGTACGCTCTTGCTGCTGCTCTGTGGAGGCCTGGAACAGATTCTGGCCCAAGACAATAATGGCTCTGTGATAGAACCTCGAATTGTGGGCGGAACCAAGGCAAAGGAGGGCCAGTTTCCCCACCAGATTTCCCTGCGTCTCCGTGAAGAGCATTACTGCGGCGGAGTCATAATCTCGGCCACCCACGTCATCACCGCCGCTCACTGCGTGAAGCATGGAAATGACGTGTAAGGTTAATCGGATCTCCTTAGGTTTCTGACTTCGTTATCTTCTTGCAACTGCTTTAGAGTCCCGGCGGATCTCTGGACGATTCAGGCGGGCAGCCTGCTCCTCTCAAGCGGCGGAGTGCGAGTTCCGGTGGCCAGCATTACAGTGCATCCTGACTATAGGCCCCACGGACACTACGATCTGGCCGTGCTACGTCTGCAAAGTCCCCTGACCTTTGACTCCAACATTGCCGCCATCCCAATGGCCACCGAAGATCCTCCTGCAGGCGCCTCGATGGATATTTCTGGTTGGGGACAAACCTCTGACAAGGGACCCCTCTCGGACAGTCTTCTGTTCGTGCAGGTGACCAGCATGTCCCGGGAAACTTGTCGCTGGTACGTCCAGAACTTGCCAGACTCCATGATCTGCCTGCTCCATCCGAGGAATAAGGGCACATGCTTCGGCGACTCCGGCGGACCGGCCACCTACAACGGCAAAGTGGTGGGCCTGGCTGTCCTGCTCTACGGAGGCTGTGGAAGAGCGGCTCCTGATGGCTACCTGAGGATCTCCAAGCTGAGGACGTGGATAGCCGAAAAGGCGGGCATGCAATGAGCAGTCCTATGAGATATGTCTTTTCTGCTTTCTTTGGTGACTTAAGAGGAAAGTAGTAAAACTTTTAACAAAAGTGAAGAAGATATCCAGCAGATGACATGAACTGGACGCGAAGAGAGTCACTCCGACTCTTTGTTGCCCCAAATAAAAGATTCGAAGCTGTATGGGCAATCGTTTAGCATTTGGCAATAAATCGAACGAATGACTTTGGGCCTCTTGCAGCCACTTCCAGGAGCAATAACTATAGTTAGACCCACTTCTTAGACTTTTCGCAGACAATCAGCGGCTGATTGCTGGCCCGAAAGAGTTGTCGCCCAACATAATGAATCCGAGGGCCGAGAGTTTGGGTGCCAGCATCCAGCGATGCTCCAGCCGGAGCATTGTTTCGCCCGCTATCCGCGCTTCATTTTTCGATCAACTTGAGGAAACTTTTGGAGGACTCTCCAGTCGCTCGCGCTCCATCGACTGGCAATGAGTGGGCTTGGGATTCGGTTGGGGAAACTATCAAGTGGGCGGGGCTGCCTTCAGCCTTGTTGCTCCCTCGCTCGCTTAACCCTCGAGTGCCCAAGGGGCCAAAAACGGGGCTGAATGGCTGAAATGGCTGAAGTGGCTGAAGTGGGTGGTGGGCGGAAATGAATGTTATTTATTTATGTCGCTGCGGCATGGTTGTTGGCCCTGTTATTTGTTGTACTTATTAGCAGTACATAAGGATAACTATCAGCCGGCGGCGGGTGCACTTTTACCCGGCAAAGTTTCCCTGGTAATAAAGTTTCCTTCAGCCTCAGTCTCAGCCTTAGTCTCAGTCTCAGTCTCAGTATCAGCTCCAGCTAGAGCCTGAGCTTCAGTCATGTAAATTTTCCTTTAAGCAATAAAATGCACAGTAACTGGACTCGCCTCTCTGGTCTTGTTTTGTAATCATTTCATTTCTTAGTCAAAGCAGCCAAGGCGGAAGTTATTATTTGCTAGGCAACTGCATAACTGCTAAAAGTACAGACAAGACAGGCAAAAAAGGGAGCAAAAACGCAGAAAAAAGATGATGAAGGAACGGACGGACGGAACTGAAGGCAGAAGGACGGGCCGAAGGATGGGCCGAAGGATGGGCCGAAGGACGAGGAATGAAAACAATTTCTGAGCTGGCGACGCGTTGTAAACGAAGGCAGCAAACAAAGTTTAAATTGCAGTTGGGCGAGAGTTTTAAATTATGTGACCAGCTCTCGAGGAGCGCCATCTTCAGCATTCTTTTCCCGGCTAATTGCTGTCTCGGGGAGAGCCCATCCCTCCTTCCGCCACTCGAAGCACCCACAGCATTGCGTATACGACGCGTACATCGATGAAGTGGCGAGAGTGCAGAGTGTCTGGCTGGAGAAGCGGCCAAATCCGGTGATTCGCACAGTCACTGAGTCACCGACTCAGGCCCGGCCCTGTGCTAAATCGAAAATCCATAAGCCCCAAAGAGCCCACTGAGCTGAGGCCGATGAGCTGGAAATGGAGCTGCAGTTGTCCTCCGATGGAGCAACTCCTCGAGGCTCTGCACTCGAAAACGGCACACTGGCGCGAAAATGTGGCCTCAAAGGTTGCACAAAGTTAAGATATAAATTTCCTAACCAACCTTTTCGATTTGAAATAGCAATTTGGTGGCTTTCGCAGCTTGGTTATCCCCAAAGTAACCCATGAACAGAATTTATGGACATATTCTTGGCCAGAAAATCCATTTTTTCTGAGTACTTCTTTAAAGATTAAATCTGTCAAAAACCTAAATAAGCAAAATAAAAACCAAAAGCCTTCATCCTGCATTTTTGACTGATGAGCTACGAGCGTCCTGTGACTTTTCCATGTTTTCTGATCGATTTGCCGACTTTAGAACATTATTTCCCTGAGTGCCCGTCCTGCCGGTTATCCTGGTTATCCTGCGGTGGTTTCTGGGGGTGTGCTTATTGAACACTGAACCCGGGGATCTCCGGATCCTTTTACCCAGCCAACAAGTTGCCGCTGTAATCCACTTAAGTCGTTGCCATAGCTGCCAATGCTGCTGCTCCTGCTGCTCCTCCTGCTGCTATTTCTGTTGCTGTTGTGCATCGACATTCCAGATGCTGGGCCGCTGACTCTTTTGTGCCCCGGAAGGGCAGGCGGAGGGGGCGTGGCCCTGCGATTTGCATAATGCCAACGGTTGGGTGGTGCCAGGGGAGGCCGGGGTTGGCCAGGGGAGGTGATGCGAGGCCAAGTGCACAAAAGCGGAGGAATACGAGCACTTGAGTGCCGGAGAAAGGCCGAAGGAGCAAGGATAAAGGACCAAGGACCCGGGACAATGGGCAATGGCCTACGGCCCCCTACGCCCCCTCTTAACCCCTTGCCGTGTTTATATTTTACGGCATTTTATTTACTAATAAAGTCCTTATGAAGTCAATGCCAAGGCCCCAGCAGCAAATCCGGGCCATAAATCATGCAGGCGAAACTCCGCTCTCCACTCTCCACTCTTCATTCTCCACTCTCCACTCTCCAATCTCAATTCCGATGATCAACTCATTTCGGTGCGTAATTGAAATCCTTTGACAGTCTCAAGCTGATTTAATTTATCGCCGCAATTTCCAATTTAATTGAAACTGAAAATTGAAATCGGAAATATTTATGCCCACCCCGAAACGGCGCCCGGCATCGCGCTCAAAATTTAATCAAGCGCCAAAATGCGAGCCAAAACTAAACAAAGTGCCAGTCAAAGGGAGCACACACACACACACATATATATATATAATTTATATATATATATGTATGCTCATATAGGTATTCGAATGGCTGCACAAGTGTGCGTGCGTATTAGCCGGGGTAGCAGCAAAATTAATTAAGTTGAGAAAATGTCAACGCTGCTGCTTTTTGGCTTGACAACGCTGCTTACCCACCCCTCCCCGGCGCCCGCCTCAATTTCCCCCCACACCTGGCACCTCACTCTCTCTCTCTCTCTCTCTCTCTCTGTATACCCTGAACAATGGGGCATATATCCGCGCCGATCCTTTGGGGCTCTATGACTATGTTCATTTCTTTCATGCAGTTCAGAGGGATGCGGGAATGTGAAGATGCAGCTGACTTTGTCCTAGATTCTTATTCCTAACAAAGCTGGCCCTGTTTTGGTAATAATTCCTTAATAATTAGTTTAATAACGAAGGCAGGAAGTTCGTTTTACTAAATTCACTTATTAGTTCCTGTCGAGAAGCCCAAATACCTCAGATATGATTACGGAAATGCTGGCAGAGTAAATTTTGTAATTTCGGAATTTGGTAATTTTTGCCAGGACCTTCTCATAAGGGTATTCCCCCCGCTAACCCGCCTGCTTTCCTCTAACGTCTCCGCAGCAAATTGACTTTTCGTTCTGCTTGCTCCCATTTTCCCATTTTCCCAGTTTCCCATTTTCCGTTTCGTCGCAGCCATTTTGTGCAGCTGCCTGCATTTTGGCCACGTGTGTGTGTGTGCCGGCTCGCCGGCTCCTTCTTCCTTTCATCCTTGCCCCCTCCTTGCTCCTTTTTAATATTTTTGCTTTTGTTAAGTTTCCCACACACACAGACTCGCATCGCATGTGCACACATCTTCCCACACACCTGGTGATTTAATAACGCGTCGTTGCAAAAATTTGCGGTTTGAATAGCTGCTAACTTTATTTTATGATAAGTTTATAATGCCCCTGCCCCTTCCGCTGCTCCTGCCTATGTCCCTGCCAACTGTATATACATACATGAACACACATACAGATGAAGATATATGCAGATGTATGGCTGTGGGGGAATGGGAATTGCAGCTGCGGCACACAAAGCGAAAAATCAAATCATAAAGGCAAAGCCCCTGTGGCAGCAGCCTCGCTCGTAAAATTTGTTAAAATTGCACTAAAATGCAGCTCCCGCAGCGGCAGAGGAAATCACATTACAAATTTGTTTGCCCGCGTATGCCGCATGCCCACGCGGCGTATGAGTGACGCGCCAGAAGGAGCACCCTTGTCTGAACTTTCTAATTTTCCTTCACTTTTTTCGCCTTCCCATTTTAGGTAAACTTCTCCCGATTTCTGTGAGTAGGGAAACGTCGCTTTCGACTACACAAACAGCAAGTGAAAATTTTCAATTTCCCAATTTCCCATGCAAAACTGCCGCACAGCTCGATAGTCACGCACACACGAAGGCGGAAGAAGACGTGGCCAAGAAGGGGCGGGGCTGGGCCTGCTGGTTTTGGGGAAATGATGATGTCGCCCACGGAGCTGCCCCCTGGAACTGATTCTGTTTGCCCGATAGGCGACAAAAAGTCAAATTGTGGCAGCCAATTAACAGCATCCAACCCTTGGAGGAGGAGGAGGAGGAGGGCTAAGGGGCCGGCTCGTTGGCAGGGGGAGGGTTTAAGGGGGGTGGCCAAGAAAAGAACGCCACCAACAAGTCAAACAGAAAGGAGCAAAGTGTGCAAAGGGTCCGTGGCAGGAGGCAGATACATGACCCAGGATCAGGACGCAAGGGTTAAAGTCCACAAACAGTGGTGCCAAGTCGCAGGAAAGGTCTTTCAAACTAAATTCCTAATCATTTTATGAAACATTGCAGATATTCTGTTAATAATAAAGATAACTTTTTTGGATGTTGGCAATATGTTACTAACTAAGGCAGAAAGCCTTCCCTAAGTAAGTATCTTAAGAACAATTTTAATGACAATTACTTACTTTTGTGCTTAATTTATAATTAATTTATATCTATGATTAATACCAATATAATGTATTTCTTACGATTTCAAGTAATCCTTATGCTTAATTTGTCAACTTACAATTCTAAAGTTGGCAACTCAGAAAGTGTGAAGATATTTCTATTAGGGTTTCGAGGTGTTTCTTACCTGAAAATATAGAAGAAAACATAAATTAATTAAGCTGCTTTTATAGAAATAATTATCAATTTCATTAGACAGGTTAAAAAGTTTAAAGAAATCCCTAAAACTTATAGAAAGGCTTTGGAAATATTCTTGGGAAAAAGTAACCTAAAAGCCTTTGCAGTTCCCTTTCCCTTTCCTTTGACACCAAGATCCTAAAGGGATATCCCTGTTTTTCACAGGAACCCGCACCACTGCTCCTCAAGACGTGCGTGTGTTTTCTCTCTCTGCCTGTGTGTGTGTGTGTGTGTTTTTTGGAGGGTGTGTGTGTGTGTGGTTGTAC